CACTCGCACGCGTATCTGAAAAAGTGCTTCTTTAAGTTGCGATGCGTGTTGACGCCGGTGCGATCCTTCAGTGATAAACTGTGTGCTGTGTGAACTGTGTGTGCCACGAACTGTTGTACAAGCTGAACCGAACAGAGAAAGGTATAATAGACTCTTGAAAGCATTGGCTCGGGTAGCCAGCCAAAGCAGGCGATCCCGCATAACCAAAAAGCGCCTTCCTGAATCCCTACGTGACTATTCGCTAAGTCGTCATTTTTGCATTAGCGCATTTAAGCTCAAACAATATTAAAACATCATTCATTTAAACATGCATTCTTAAAAAAAGGCCTGCTTATTCACTTAACAATTTGTTACCCGTTTACTTGTCACAAAAAGCCCTAACTTGGTACGTGAATGTATAGTAAAAAAAATTCTTATTAGTGAAACTTGCTAGTTTGCAAAGTAGTTCATGAATAGTGCCAACTCGAATAATGAATACATCACTGAATTTTACTTGACGGGCATTTATGTGCACATGTACATTGTCACACCAAGATAAATCAATTACAAAAGTATATATGGGATAATACGCAAAGTGCAGTTGTCCTTGTGGATTAATTAGCGGCCACTAATGATTCCATCTAATTACCATGGCAACTATGCATCACAGCAACATACATAGAGGCATGAACGAATTACAGGTGAGGACACACAGCCAAACGCACACATAGAATATCAAGACTTGGCAGGTATCTTATATATACTGCAGCAGGTGTTTCAAAGCTATTTATGTTCCTACTTTGGAATAAAATACTGTGTACTGGTTAGCAATCATATAATTTAGAAAAATAATGGACGTTTGGTCATATTCTGCCCTTCTATATATGTATATTATCACTTAGCACGAAACTTATTATTATTCCAAAGTAATCGACATAATTTTAAGATTGGTCTAAATTTTTCTTACAATGTCAATATTACTGCAAGATATACAGTAGTGCTTACGAGAGATCTGGCAACGTATGTGGCTTGGTAGTTACCTAATTAAAAAGCCAAACTGCAAAGGTTGTACTCCATAAGATAAGCCACGAAGCTGCTATCTGTAGACTGTGGAAACATGTTTAGCGTAGTTTTGCAGTTCCTATGCATCCGGTGACATCAGTTTTGTTTTTACAATCATTCTTAGCTCGATAAAGCAATCAAGATACACCTCTCCTATGTTGAGGAATCGTAGGAATAGAATCGACTGCCTAGTCATTCTTGGAGTGGGAATGGGCTAAGTTATTTCATTCCGAGGAATCGAAAAGAGTGGAATCATTGGAAGTTGCAATTCCCCAAATTGAATTGGAATGGAATGTAGGTGCCCATTCCACAACACTGCTAACTACTAATAATTTGAAATATTTAATATTGAAATATTTAAACATCAACTGACATCTTTGAGTGTGAACTTATTCAACCTGAGATCCCATTTAGCATAAATGGGAAAATAAGGATCTGCAGCACCACACAGTTTTTGTACCTAAACCACTGAACGGCCGTGTAGCAGCGCGACAACTATAGGGCCTGTGTGACACAGGTTGTTAAAAGTGGAGCAAGAGAGGTGCAAAGGATTCAGGTATACTCGCATTCTCTTTTCCTTAATTTATGTTGAATTTCAATGCTAGAGTCGAAGCAGCCAATGGACTCCGCAAGCGAGCACTCGACTTCGGCATAGAGCAAGCTTCCAAATCCGTGGTTGGAACACAATTTATGCTGCCAGAGCAAGCATAGGGAGCAAGGTGGAAGCAGAAGTCCTTGAGTTACCCAGAATATCTTGTGTATAGTTATTCCATACCGCTAATTCTACTGTCGAATTCTGTTAAATTACCACTAATTTGCAGTAGTTTCAGTGTCGCTGTCTTTATCCAATGAACTCCAGCTGTCGATTTGCTTATTCAGCCAAGTCGTCCACCATTACTGCCAAAACATGCGACAGTGACGGCACTTCCAAGCGGGTGACTCTGTTGAAGGGAGTTGAATGTGAAAATTCGACAGAAGTCTGTCTGGTTGGGTATGAAACTGAGAGATGGTTTAGACTCCAACCAAAAGTTTTGAAGAAACCCGAGGTTTTGAAACCGACTTGGTTCCTTCCTCAGGGGTGACTGCGGAACACAGTCATCCCTGCGACCACTGCCTGCCCTTCCTGCTGGCACGAAAACGCAACGGCCTGGAGTTTTCCGTTCACAGGAAGCCAACGCACACTGGCCGCTGCCTTCAATTTGATTCTTCCCACTCCGCCTGCCACAAGGCCTCGGTTGTGACCACGCTACTCCAGAGAGCTAAGAACCAGGCACAGCCACCACATTCACAATGGAGAGCTTGTGTGTTCATCTGGTGAGGGACTTGCTCCGTGACAGATTGCCACAGATTTGGGCAGCAAGAGAACAAGCAGGATATGTCTTTTCTGTCATTGTTGAATCAACATTCATCACACTTTTCAGTGCAGGCTGAGGTTGTCATGGAAATGTGGAGCTCTAGTGGGAATAGCTTTTGGAACTGGTTTATGTGACAAGGTAATCAAAAGCTCCCGGCGTGGTGTTACTTGGGTGATTCCGATGTTATAGTGGCAAATTTGGCTTTGTGAATTCTGAGCGCTCACTTAAAGATTTTTGTGAATGTTTCAGTGAAATAATGGCTAGAATTGCTGTTGCTACATGCCCTGCTTCTTTGCTGGAATGACGTTTTCATTAGGAAAATTATTAGGCATCTATTGTTTTCTCAGTATTTTTAATAATTTTGCATTTAATTAATTCTAGCTTTTACCGGGGTTGTGCAAATCTTTGGATAGTGTTTGCTGTTCAATTAGACTCTCAACAGTTCCACTATCGAACTTCGTGGAAAGAGATAGTCAGCAACAGATTGGCAGTGGCCACTTCAGATTTTCAATACGCTTCACCCCTTCACACTCTGTCATTGCGGCATGCCTTTCAGAACCTGCTATGCTAGCAAAGGTATTCAAGAAAATGCTGGTTCTAAAAACATGGAGATGATCGATGTGGCAAAGGTGGGGGTTTAATTAATATCATATTGGACCTGAAGTTTGGACAAAATATAAAAAAAATCTGATGTCAAAGAATTTCAGCTAACCTTTTTACAGGAGCACCCAGGGGTTGAGGGTATGTTCTGAGTGTTGCCATCATGCTTTCGACTGCGCATGCCATACTTCATATATTTGGATGTAGTGTGTGTTATAGGCGCCTGTCTTCGAGAAAAAGCGACCGTAACAGCAGGAAATTGCATTTATTTGAAGAATAAATCATCTGGCAATCATTGTGTCGTGAAGGGTTAACAATCTACACAAAAGCAACAGTTTGGGTGAAATCATGTGTCTGTAGCACAGTACACTATGCAATGAGTACGTGCAGGTGTGATATGTTTGCGCTGAATCGCTCTCCATCGTCACCTGAATTGCAGAAGCAGTGGGTGGTGTCAGTAAATTGAAAGATCGTCATGCCTCTGTTCACAGCACCTCGTTGGCGGCAAGAAAACTGAAGAGAACAACGCTCTCGTACCAGTGCTGCATTTTGTATATATATAAAAAAAAAGTGCAGACAGAATCACACTTGTCTGGAGCACCTTACTGGCTGCTTTACCTGCTGCTTTCTGCCAAATTATGCAAATCCCGATTCTATAATGCTACCTCGCATAGTTACACTGCTCGTATTTTCTTACTATAAATTCGAACAGGACCGGACGCTTGTAGGAGAAAGAAGCTAGGCACTCGGCAGCTCCAGATAAGTGCGACTCCGTCTGTATGCAAATTGCGAATGGTACTACGCTTGCTGCTACTGTTACTGACGACAAAGCAGTGCAGTTCTCAGATGCGGAGATCATTTTTGCGTCGCGCTAGCGCGTATGCACACCGCTGAATGGTTCGGAAAAGGATGTGTATTTGAAATCGGCTAGGGGCAGAGACACTGTCTAACAAAACAGTCTAAGCAAACGAAAAATCTTTAACATGGGCTCTATCAGGGATTTTCACCTGGATAATGTGCTGGTTCAAGCACGCACAGCCTAGGGTGAAAGTTTCGCCAAAGTTGCATGTTAGATGGCGTGCATTTTAATGTGGCCCCCCGCTGTCATAAATATTTGAAAATGTGTATACATTGACATTTACCAGGCAGATGAGGAACTCCAGATTGAACAGAAGCACACCCTTGTCCTCCACATCAGTTAGCTTCTACAGAAGTTGAGAGTAAGAGAGAGGCTGAGAAAATGGCATCTCCATCTCGGACTTGTAAATTGTTGTGAACACAGCTTTGATTGCACTAATTGACGTAAATAAATACAATTCGGCATCTGCATTGCCTTTTTTTTGATAAAACAACTGGGAAACACCACCCTTCTAGGGCTTCAGCAACCTACTCAAAACGTTAGCTCCCATGTTGCCATCAACTATGCTTGGAGTATTATACAAATATTCAATTTGATTAGCCTCAAACTTCAATATTCAAATTCGTTTTGAGCCCAAAATTTTGCTATTCTTGCATAGCTGTAGCGTGTACCTGCTACAGATTAGTGAACGCAATAACTTCTTTACAGGGATGTAGCACATTACCTGTAATGAACGAGGGCAAGAGCGTTTTATTGTTGCCTAATTTGTAGTACCCACATCACTTATGGCAATTTGAATTAATGTTCAATGCTTTCACGCATGCTACGGTAGCAGCAGGGAATGCACTTTGCTGCACGTTCCACGGCAACTTGTTGCTTCTACTAGCAAGGCAGCAGTAGCAATTGTGTTGCCATACAAGTCGCAGAAAAGAAGCTAGCTGTGCTCGCACAGATGATATTCCATGGAAAGGTCTATTTTTTGCTGGCCCTGCTATGGTCACATTTGTGTGTGCAAGACTTTGGATGATGAAAAGTTGCAGTTGAAATAAGATATAATATTTTGGTTGTAGTAATTATAATTAGGCTAGGAGAGGAAAAATGGATGAGGTCTGCAACCAGCTGATCGACTGTATCTCCCCTTGCAGATGTTCTTTGAGGACAACATAGACGATGCCAAGTACTGTGGCCACCTGTACGGACTGGGCACATCTTATGTTATGAACGGAAACTCTTACCATGACGAGGCGACCCCAAACAACGTGGCTCTGCCTGCAACCGCTGCCCAGTCTACCCCCACCTCCACCAACTCTGCGTCTTGACATGCCTGCCACCACTACAGTGCTGCCAACTCTTCAAAAGTTCCTCCCTAGCCGTTCCCTCAGTCTGTTATTCTAACATCAGTGGCTGGCGACCAGGAGAGCACGTTTTTATAGGTGTGCAAGTTTTGTTCATTTCACAAGTGTTTAATCAGGGCTGCATGTACAGGATAATGCTTGTGTGCCAGTGTGGCCACATGGGACATTTTATATTTCAGCAAAATAGCTATTTCTTCTTCTATGCATTGATCTCTGTTCTCCCATGCTGGGCAGTAAAATCTCATTCAAGGCAAATGCTGTGCACCACTCACTTGAATGCATGCCTTGGCTGTGTCATAATCGTTGTGTGCATTAGGGCAGCACATGTAAAAAGAAAATGCGACACACGTGTAGAGGCAGGTATGTACGGGCAGGATGCATGTCGTGTTCTGTTCCATGTGCCGCACTAATGCACTCCACAATGATGGATGACCAACTTGCCCCTGCGGATGTGCCAGTCAAATACACACAGAACCCTCTTCAAATGAACGTCTAAGCCAGTAAAAAAAAAAACTGCTTTAGGAATGTCCCATATCTGTGTATTTTCACATGTGGAAAATTCAAGTTCGAGGAAAGTTTTTCTGGTTGAGTGTGTTGCATGGCTGGTATTTTATTTGCAACATTTTTTTTTCTTCTCTTCCCAGCAAGGAATTCAGAAGTGGTATCTTTGTGGTCTCTCTCTACCAGCTTTTCTATTCCAAAACTGAAACCTATGAATGTACACCTGCCCTTGTTAGACTACCAGTGTGTTTTCTTGCTGCTTTACAGATTTTAGCGAAACCACTAAGTTTCAGAGTTTAGCAAACAGGGGTTTTCTTTAGCCGTGGTGACGTGTCTGTCGTGTAAAAATGACCAGGCTGAAACTGCTATGATGAGTTTTCACAAAGACCATGCCAGTGAGTCAATCTGCCTCCTCAATAGCATATCGAGCCCTCACCTCCCTTTGCCACTCGGCACACAAGCTATGCAGCGCCTATTTCTAGCCAGCCCTTTGGGATTTCACACTTTTCTATGACACAAAACTGCTTTTTATTATAACTTAGTGCATACAAGGTGTACAAAGCCACTCATGTCCACCTTGTGCCATTTTTTGCCTCCCTTTTAAAGTTCTGTGCGCAATTTTCTGTGGATGCCCACTGCACGCACAGACTGACATTTGGAGAGGGGGGAGCCACTGTGGTGCAATGTCATTTTTAGTGAATACATAATGTTGTAAATAAATGAAATTGTGCATTAAAGGCTGTCTGAATATCATTTTGGAGAACTTTCTCTTAAGAGGAGATGAAAATTTCAAACACATGGCGACACATGTTTTGTTCACAATGTGCATTGCAGAACACTAGATTTCTATGAATGTTCGAACCATTGTTGAATTCGCATCAACTAAAATTAAACTCATTCTAACTTCAAAAGTATTCTAAATGAACAAACAAGCCAATATAAAACACATGATGTAACAGCCTGTAAAGGTGGTTTTACTGCAGTAGAGGAATGCTATACTGTGATTACACCTACCCAAGGGAAACTGGCACGAAGCCCCACTTCAAGGTTAAAATCCAATTTTGAAAAGTGACGTTTTCGTATTCTTTTTTACCATCGTGCACCTGCGTGCAAGTCTTTGTATCAAAATCCAGCTTATTAGCGTCATAACAGTGAATCAAAAATGCGTTGGCACGCCCCCAGACCTTTAAATTGTGGACAAATCATGCTTATTTCGGCTGCCTGTAACTCGTGAAAGACCCGCTCCAAAGCGGTCATTTTGGTATCATTAAAAAGCTCTTGCGTTTGCCTTTTTTATCACTCGGTCAGGCAACACTGAGCTTGCCACCTTCTCAAATTAAAAGGAAGTAGGCGTAACATGTCGTTGGCCACTTTCGATAACGTGGCTAAAATTGCGTCGTCTGATTGGCTTAGGGTGCTGCATCTGAAAACCTATCTAGTTCAGGTGCCATTTTGATTAGGCTATAATCCTACGACGAACATGCCTAAAGGACCGAGAAATTTCCACTCGGATCGACCGAAGACGAGCCAAAATGAAAAACAAAAAAAAATAAAATACGTGCTAACAGCACGACATCACAGGTTTCTGCAACCAATCAGCAAGCGAGCGTCATTGCTTCGGCACCCGATAACGACGATGGAGGTTATTGCCATTTGCTCCACAATGGCACGGTATCGCGACACTCTGCAACCGAAGATCAAGCGACTCGCGGTTCGCACGATAAGGGGATGCCGTGGTCCAGCTTAACAAACGAGCAGCATGCGACCCACGATGATGCAACTGACAGCAATCCGCCCGAGAAAGACAGCATTTCTCGCGCCGACTCTCGCCTTGTCCGAGTTGATACTAAAGCTGTCACGAACAGCGACATAGCCCAAGTCGTGGATGACTGTGACTACAGCCTCGCTAAAGGCCTGGCCACATTCATCCATTGCAGTGTGTGAGCGCATGGCGTTTTGATGCGGCGCATGGCTACGCGAAGCTGCGTGCCTTCCTTTTCCATATGAGAGAGGGCATAGCGTCGCATCAAAAAGCCACGCCCTGACGTGCAACGAATGCGTGTGGTCAGGCTTTAAGAAACTGGTGGTGAAGTGCGACTGTTGTGGCGAAGTGACGACGGCATGGAATTCGCGCAGGGTCTGATGAAAAGTCTTGCAATGCACTTGAGACTAACATTTTATCCACAAGTGCAATGCTCTGTAGCGGGAACGGCCAGTCATTCATGAACGGTATTTTCGCGCCGTTGGCACTGTCAAAGCGGGGGCTCCAGAATAAAACGTTCCAACGGCAATTTCTTTTACCTGGTTCCCCAAAGTGGCATTTCTGATGGCGTCATATTGAAGCAACAAATATCTCTTGTTCTACTCAACTAGTCTCAATATTACCTGTTTCATCAGAAAGGGGATGAATTTACAAGTGCATTAGGACTAGTATAATATAAATTTTTGAAGTTGTTATTGAATTTTACAAATGAATTTTCAGATGTTCTAATTTTATTCGAGATAGTTGTAAAATATTCATTCTTGCCTGATTGAACCTGTATATCATCCTCGATCACTGAGTGTAAGTGTTCAGAGATTTGCATAATTATTTCTAACTTGCCTTGAAAAGGTTTTTTTTTTTTTTCGTTTTCTCAAAACTGCATTTTTGATCATGGTGTAGTTTTAAAGTGACGATATCTCTGGTGGTAATTATCATATCGCAGTTATTCTCGTTTTGTTAGAAAAGGGGACGAATGGGGAGTGCAATAGGCATACAATTTGAACAAATAAAATGAGAGATTTTTTCAAAAAGTAATTTCTCTAGGGTGTTACTGAAGCCTTTTGCTTACAAAAGTTTAACTTTGGTCCAAATCAGTATAGAGCATTCATTCTTGTAGCACTGCAAGCTCTGACCATATAACATAATTTTCATATTCCATTGTCTTTTATCACTACCAGCATTCAAGGAAAAACTCGCCTCGAAATCGGTCAATGCAAAGAACATGAATTCTGAATACTTTGAAAAGTATGTGTTGTACAGGAAAGGTAATTTATATCCCAAATCACCCTGTCAAAATCCATTAAGGGTGGAAGTTTGATCAAAATTCACCCAGAAATAAAAAAATTTAATTGGAGTGACCCCCTTAAATAAATATACACTCGAACCTTGATATAACGTGCCCAAATATAAGGAAATATCAGTTATAAAGTAAATGCGTGCTCTTGCAATGGATGTAGTGCTGGGAATTTACATTTATATTGACTTTTTGAATGTAATGAACTTGTTTTACTATAAGATGCAACTTCTTTATAATGAGGTTTGAGTGTATTGCCATTGCATTGATTCATGTTTTCTGAGTTTAAAGGTTTGTTTTAGCGGCTTTTAATTTCTGGGTATAGTAAATTTTCAAACCTAATATATATTACGCCTAATCACTTGCGTTCTACCGAAAGTAAAATCCAGCTATTATTTGAAGTTGTTTCCGCTCCCTCTGAACCAAAACAAATGACGTGCACGTGCCTTGCTTGGGTATAAAAAATAATGTGCAGGTTCGTGGGGTAATGTTTTCTGATATTTTGTGACATCGCTATTTGCTTCAAACGTGAAATTTACTATTGGCTCAAGCCTACAGAACTTATGATTTAACGAAGTGGCTTTGAACCAGACAAGAGAATAATACCCCTATTACACGTGGCAACTTAAGTGCGCTTTGAGAGAGTACACTTTGCCGCGAGTGTCATTTGCGCGATGACACACGGGAAAGTTTAGTGTCACTCGCTGCAAAGTACACTTGACGGCAAGTGTGTTCCCCAACCTCTCTTTGCTGCAATGAAGTGTGTATGTAGTCTCGGTACCACTGGCTTGCACCGTAATAAGATGTTGACGAAAGTGGCACTCATACTATTTTTAAACCATTGTTTTAGTTATAAGGAATACTGCTATGTAATAAAACAAATCAAAATACAACAAATAGCCTCACTACTCTCATTCTTAGGCAGTTTCCAGCCATGTCGGCTAGTAGGATACGGTAGCACATGCTACGCAATCGCTGTGTCTGTCACGTCGTTTATTTCCAGGCACACTTGCACACGCGTAGGTGATTCGTTCTCTTAGTCATTTGCGATGGCGTGTGCCACTGGTGCTACTTCCTCGAAGACTACTTGGTCCGATGATGAGCAACAAGCACAAAAATAGGAAATATATTTACCATTACAAATTTGCCAATCGTAGCTGCCACCATTTCCAAAGTGCACTTCGTTTCTTTCGTGCAACAGCAAACAGCCAGAGTGACACTTCCCTTGCGAGTCCAAGTACATTCACTCGAAGTGCACACAGCCTCCACATAAGCCATGCATTACTGTATGTTGCTTCTGGATTTTGTACAGACTTTGATTACTGTCTGTGCAATATTTATACCATTCTGAAAACCTTATGCCCAAAGTTACGGATATTATAATCCCGACATGAAAATGTAGGTTGTCTAGTTCTTTCAGTGTGGCCCACTCTAGTGTATCGGAGAAAAAGCTACGACTCCATTGACCTGGTGCCCTTTTTTACTGCATTCTGCTGAGTCGTGCATGTCACAACTACCGTATTTACTTGCATAATAGGCACACTTTTTTATTTAAGAAAATTCGGCTCGAAGGGTGTGCCAATTACGCGTGGTAAAATGTCTGAAAATTTTTTTACTCTGTTCTTGCGCTTTAAATCTGCACATTAATCAAGTAAAAGGCGACTTTATCATTTAACAATTATTTCAGCATAAAACAAACATACCTATGTACCTCTTGATGAACAAGCCAAAGCCCTATGTTAGGGTTGCAGTATTCATAAATAAAATAAAAAAATAAAGCGAGAGAAAATTTATTTACACGAAAGTCATAGGTGTTCCTCTTTTTCCCTATTTGAAGTCCGAGTCGGAGAGCACACATTTACCCTCACCAAGAGGGGATTCGTTTTCGGTGTCCGAATCATCCGCACCCCACAACATGTCATCCTCATTCGCATCTAGTGCATTCGTGATACCAGTCTTCTTGAAGCTTTTTCTGACGACTTCGTTGGACCTTGCCTGCCACGCTTCCACGATCTAAGTGCACAGCATTTCCACAGGCGGCCTCTTAGTCTTGCCACCTGGAGTAAGCTGATGTTGTCCTCCAGCCATCCAGGTGGTGTACAGCCTTTGAACATTGTCCTTGAAAGGCTTATTCAAGGACATGTTTAAAGGCTGCAGAATCACTGCCAGATTTGTGCGCAGCTCCTTTAGCTCAGCTCGTACGCAGTCTACTAGGTGCCCAGGAACACTGTCCAGGACAAGCATGGACGGGAACAACAGACCACCCGGCCGCTGATCCCAGACTGTTTTCACCCAGTCCACCATGAGTTCCACACTCATCCAGCTTTTTTCCTGGACTTAGACGTAGATGCCTTGAAGAAAATTTGCTTTCGGGAGCATCTAATGTTTAAAAATAACGTAAGGCGGTAGCTTGTGCCCATTCACTGTCACCGCCAGCATTATGGTGCATCGTTGTTAATCAGCGCCAGACATTCTGACAATGATGCTCCGTGCACCTTTCTCCTCCAATGTCGTGTTCCGCGGCATATCAAAGCAAAGGGGAGCCTGATCCGCGTTGCCGATCTGGGACAAAATGAAGTCTTTCTGCTGTCGCAGCTTTACAAGGAAACGGTGGAAGTCCACCACTTTGTCCTCATATGCTGTGGGCAAGCGCTGGCACAAGTTGGTCTGCCTTTGCGGTGCGAGCCCATGGCGCCG